GATGAGATCTCTTAAAGTTGCCTTCATTTTAGCAGGGATTGTTTAAAGTTTTGAATTTGGCTGATCCAGTTTTGAAGCAAAGTTCAATCTAGTCCAATCCCAAGTCTAATTAATTTCCCTTCTTCTCTCAACAATATCTACCATGGACAAGAGATAAGCACTTCCACAACATCAGGGATTGGAATCTGCCCAACGTCTGTTGGTCACTTCAGGCTGCAGCTGGCATGCTCCATACTTTCTGGCCACTGGGCAAAACCACAAATGGCCATTTTTTAAGGGCTGCAGGTAAGCATCAAACTTGGAATCAGCAGAGCAGAGGAAAGTCAGGCAGGGATTATTCAAGCTCCTCTTGGTTTAACATTCTTCAGAAGGACTTACAATCTGGTTTTAAACACAGGTTTTCTGCTTTCTTGAGAAAGTGTTAGACTTGTGTTTTTTTAAAAAACAGGATTAGCACACTCTACAGAGAACTCTTCCTGTGCTGCACAGAAAATTGATTTAAACCAGGGAACAGAACCAGGTTCTACCTGAACTATGCTGCTGATTCTATCTGAAGATTATAGGCTTTTTGCTCATAGGTGTATAATTTTTATGATTTTTGTTGCTTGGACAAAATGAAATTTGGGGATTCCTGGCACCATTTTGTATACTTGGTGGGTTTATGTCTGGAGATTCTCAGTCATCCAGGTCATAGTTGTCTCAAAGGTGCCTTTTCTTTTTTCTTTTTAGAAGGCAACTAGAAGAAAAAAGCACCTTTAAGACATACTTGGTGGGTTATTTCTGTTGCTGCTATGATCAGAAGTGGATCTGTTGGCCTCTCAATAATGCCCACAGCAAATCATTGGTTTACTTAATGATTGCAGAGTTTGCTTAACAATTGTTACAATTGTTCTACAGCCATTGTGTTTGATTAATGACCACCACAAAAAAAGTCATAAAGTCAGATTGGTCATCTGATCAACCCATTTTATAACTTTTATGATATATGTCTGCAATGGACAGGCTCCATTACAATCGTATGCTGAGGACTGCCTGTACAGTATGGTTTTGTATCAAAATGGCTTGACTGATAGATCTTAGGTCAAAAAGAGAGAGCTTAGATGAAGTGGGAGGGAACATTTCTCCCAATGCTGCTTGCATCTCCTCCACCACCAGCGTTGGGACCTGTCCCTTGGTCTATTTCTGAACCTGTTTTTATTACTCTTCTGAAAGAGCACTAAATCTATGTCCTGACAAGTTGCAGGAAGAAAAGATGGGTGAAGATTAAAATGGGAGGGATTTCTAGCTCTAATGATAAGTCATGTGCAGAGAGTACCTATATGCCTGTAACCAATAACTGGGGTTACTGGAAAAGCAGTTATGCTCTATCTCTCTTAGGCAGCCAGCCACCTTCAGCTGACCTTGGCTACCAGAGGTTAAAAAGAGCTGCTATTGGTTGTTTTTCCTGACAGCAGGTGATATTCGGTGGGAAGAAAAATAAAGCCAGGCGAATTCACCAATTGCTTTTTAAGCTTTGCCCAGCATTAAAATTAAAGAACTATACCAGATCCAGGCTCAGCTGTTGGGACAGCAGGTCCTTTTAGTCTGAACTCTCTGAAGGGCAGCTTATTGATGCAGCCCTGAGGCAAAGCCCTTTGTGTGCATCAGTGCTCTGAATGGCTTCCTACATATCTGGAGATTAACCTTAAACATCAGTCCTTTTGACGGAGTAGTGCCAGGATTGGGTTATTAGTGTTGAATAATCAAACACCACGATAAACATTTTGATAAGCTAAAATGGTACATACAAGTGGCTGACATGAGGGTAAAAGGGAGCATGGCTACTAGTCCTAAGTGCTATGTGGAGGCTGCCTCTAAATGGAGAGGTAACTATGTTGTTCCTGAATACCAGCTGCTGGGAATAACAACAGGAAAGGACTATACAGCGCATCCACGTCCTGTCTTTGGGTTTCCCAAAGGAATCAGTTTGGCCACTGTGGGAAACAGGATGTGGCATCCAGATAGACCTTTGGTCTGATCCAGCTGATCTCCTTGGGTTCTCTTGCACGCAAAACAGAATGCCATATCTATTATGAACAACTAAAATGAATAATCACACAATAAGTTTTTTAAACTTGTTTTAGAAAAATTAATGGGTTTCTCTGATGTTATATTTGAGAGGGAGAAAATTGAGACAATTTGTGCAATAGGCACATACTGGGACATTCAATACAATCTCTTTCCCTTTAGATAATTGTGTCCTTTTTTTGCCTGGTAATGATGCAATTGATATTGTGTGCTTTGATCATGTCAAGTACTGTACTACAGTTTCTATTAATTTAAATCATAGCACAGAGTCCACAGGGAGAAGATAAAAAAAGTGAAGATAGTAGCTGGAGCCATGCAAACAAAACCCCACTCTGGTTTAAACATATACCAACACACTGAAAGGGGTGGGGCTTCAAATGACCTTTTTGACCTACTTCCTATAGATAACCCTAAATTTGCAAATCTTTACCTCCCATTTTATCTCAGACACACAAATTGTCTTACAAGCTAGAATATGCTATTTTAGAAGCTATGTAGATTTGTATGCTTATTCTTAAAAGTTGTTGTATATCAGTGTTTCTTAAACTGCTAATCTCTCAAGACTTCTTCTTTCAAAAGAGTTCTTCTTTTAAAAATTGTGGTGTTGTGGGTGCTCCATCATTGGAGACTTTCAAGAAGAGACTGGACGGCCATTTGTCCAGAATGATATAGGGCAGAAGTGGGGAATGATGTCCTCTTTATGATTTGTGGACTTCAACTTCCAGTTATAAGAGGGCCATCGTTTCCCACCTCTGATATAGGGGTCCCTGTTTGACTAGAAGATTTCCAAAATCGCTTCCAACCCTATTATTCTATATTCTATGTCCAATAGAAGTTACTTCTAAGGAAATAGTAATAATATTCTGGTAGTGACAGATCTTCCTGGGCTCCAAGATCACCATACATGGGGACTGCAGCCAAGAAATTAAAAGACGCTTGTTACTGGGGAGGAAGGCTATGGCAAATCTAGACAGCATACTAAAAAGCAGAGACATCACCCTGCCAACAAAAGTATGTATAGTCAAGGCCACGGTTTTCCCAGTTGCAATGTATGGCTATGAAAGTTGGACCATAAGAAAGACTGAGCACAAAATAATTGAACTATGGTGCTGGAGAAGACTCCTATGAGTCCTCTGGACCGCAAGGCGATCAAACCAGTCAGTCCTAGAGGAGATCAACCCTGACTGCTCTTTAGAAGGCCAGATCCTGAAGTTGAAACTCAAGTACTTTGGCCACCTAATGAGAAGGAAGGACTCACCAGAGAAGGGCCTAATGCTGGGAAAGATGGAGGGCAATAGAAGAAAGGGACGACAGAGAATGAGATGGCTGGATGGAGTCACTGAAGCAGTAGGCGTGAGCTTAAATGGACTCCAGAAGATGGTAGAGGACAGGAAGGTCTGGAGGAACGTTTTCCATGGGGTTGCGATGGGTCGGACACGACTTCGCAACTAACAACAATAATATTCTACTGATAATTGATAATTTAGCTATTTTTCACCTAAGTTATCTTAACTAATGAGTACTGTTATTATTCTTTACTCCTTTTGCTCAAAGGCTGCATTCACATAACACATTAATCTATAGTTGTTTGTTCTCAGTTTACCCAAGTGACATAAGTTCACACAACACAGTAAGCCAATTATATACTACAATGGCCACATAAGCTACCAAGACTAATTCAAGTAAAACAGATTATGGCTTAATTATGCATTTCAGTACTGTTTTGTTTGCTTCAGGCTTAATTATGTATGAACACAGCCAACTGTGGCTTTAGTCAAAAATTGCAGTTTAAAGTGTTAATTTAGGAGCTATAAATCCATTCAAAATTGCTAAGTGCTAATGTTAATGTGGCAAAAATTATAAGCTATGTGAAATGCTTTCAAGATAAAAAAAAAAAGTCCAGTGCAGTATATAAATTGTACCGAAAATCCCAGCTCTAGCCACGTGTGTGGTATAGCTCTGCCTACTTCATCTTTGCTCCACCCACTACAGTTTTGCTCCTCTTAAAACGTCTGGAGGGTAAGTAGTCCCTTCTTACAAAGATTGTTGACGTCTGCCCTATGGTAAGAAGAGCATACTTTCCTAAGTACAGTAGTGAGTGTTTTGTTTCGTTTATTTCCTCTTAGGCTCGTGCGCTTTTTCAAATGTATGACAGGCAGAACTCGGCATGCAGCTGGGTAATCGCTGGCGTAAACACTTTATCTGTTTGATTCTTCTTGATGGCACAAGGTGTAGAAGTCTTTCCAGGTGGGGGGAGAATTTGACTACGCCAACAGTGAACTCTAGATTTATTCATATACACATATGGTGTATTTATTTTTAAAAAAAATTGTTCGAAAAAAAGTATTGCTACGATTGGAGTTGAATGTACCCTTATTTGGAAATAAGCCTAGTTGAAGAAATCGTGACATACATTTCTGAGAAAGCGTACATGAGCAGAATGTTCGGGCAAGCTGTTCGCTCGTGAACATGATGCGAATTTCCACTTTTTAATGTATGCCTCTGTAACGCAGAAAAAAAGTGCATGGGGGCTGCGAAGAGCTGGGGAAGGCGAGATGTTTTGCTAGGGATCGAACCTGCTCCCTCCTTTCCTTTGCAGAAGGAAAATCGCTGTGCGCGCGGCGGCCGTTCTGGCACAGCGCGTCCTCGGCCTGCAGGGTGCAGGCGTTAGCCAAGGCGGCCGCGGTGGCGGTGGGGAGGGATGGGGAGAGGGGGAGGAGGAGGAGCCAGGCCGGCCTCCTTCCCTTCGGCTCTCGAGTCCATTTCCCCAGCTCTAGTGACACAAACGCACCAGGCGAGCGCCGCTACTGCCCGAGCCGGGATCTTACAAACCCCTCTTGGCCGTCTTCTCTACCAACCCCCCCCCCCTTTGGGGCTGCAGCGAAGGAGTGCGCGGGGAAACTCCAGCTTGCGAGGGGAAGGGGAGGGGGGCAGGACACCAGCTTCCTGCTTGCAAAGAAGGGGGGCGGGGGGAGAAAGAAGAAGACGAAGAGTAGCCGCCGCCGTCGCCTCGCCAAAGGTAGGTTACGGCGGGTGGAAGAAGAGTGAATTGCGGATCTCTGCAATTCTGAAGGGGAAGCTTCTGAAGGGGAAGCTTCGTGTGCGCTTGTGAACCCCAATATGTCTTCCCTCCTCGGCCCCCCACCCTCTTCCAGCTGTCTCCACCCTGCGCTCCCCGTCCCCTCGCAGCTGTTCCTGTCACTGCCAACGTTGCAAATCTATACGAGATTAGGCGGGGTGGTGGGAAAAAGATGCGCCCCCCCTTTCCCATATAGGGATTTTTCGCTTGTGGAATCTTGTGGAGTCTCCTCCTCCCCCCCTTTTAATCTCATCATTTACTGTTTTCCCCTCCCGTCTCTCTCTCTCTCTCTCTCTCTCTCTCTCTCTCTCTCTCTCTCTCTCTGTGTGTGTGTGTGTGTGTGTGTGTATATACACACACACACATATATATCCAATTATTATATATATACACACACAGACACACACACCCGCGCGCGCGCGCGCGCACACACACACACACACACACACACCTCTTTTCAGCAATGGAGAGGAGGAGGAGGTTTTAAATAGAGACAAAAATGAAGAGAAAAAGGGAGACACTTCTCCTTCCAAAGAAAGACGCTTGTTTATTTATTGCACTCCTGGAGATTAGTGTTGATTTGGGATTTCTGATAATTTTGGGGGGAGGGGGGGCAAAAAATGGTTTGTTCAGAAGTGATAATCTCCAAAGCAAATTTATTTTTTAACACCACAAATTAAAAATGTGCTTATTGACTCTAACCTCCTTCTCTCTAAGAAATGGTGGTAGGGTTAATTCCCCACTTTTTTCCCTTTTTGAGTGAATTTGATTTCTTACTGTTTGCATCTCAGGCTCTAATCTCAGGAAGGTTTCTCTGCTTTTGCATATTTCTTGTTGTTTTTAAATGCAAAGATTCGTTGCAAAGGCCCACAATAGAAAATTCGTTTTGACATTTGCAGTGGGGGGGGGGGTAAGAAGAATTAGGAAAGGGGAAGATATTTTTCTATTTGTGTTTAAAGGGGGGGGAAATGTGGGTAAATATTTTCTTTAAAAATAAGGACGTTTGGCATGTGGCTGGTGGGTCACAAGTCTAGGGGGGCTGTAGGGGGGACTACGTTTTAAATGTTGGCAGCAAGGTCCATTTCCTGGTAGAGCTGGATTTAACTTTGCTATTCCATTTAAAAAAAAAAATAGGGGAAGGGCTCAGGGTGAGTGAAGTGTCCCCCTTTTGGCTTGAGGGGGGTGGAAGGGGGTACTTTGGGTTGAAAAGGAACCCATGCAGCAGGGATCCTGTTCTTGGAGAAAGGGGGATTCTGAGGGGCGACTCTGATGCTCATTCTGCTGTCAGAGAGACATCTGTCTGTAGGGGAACATGGTTGGCAGATTAATCCTGAGCACTTAATGCATGTCGATGTTTAAAAATCAGAAGCTTTGAATGCTTCTGTGTAGCTCTCAGTTTTATTTAAAATTAAAAGAGAAAGCTGAACAGTAGTGATTGATATAAATCTGAATTATATCCCAGTTTGTGTCCATGATGGTCCCAGTTAGCATGCAAGTTTTTCCATATATCTTGCAAGGAGGGGCGTTGTGTCACCCTGTCCCTCTCTCCAATTTTGTCAGTGTTGTTTGCATTTTTTCCAGTGAAAGCTTTCCTTCCTCCCCCTCTTTGTGAGGGAGAGAATGGATATATGGTACATCAGTTTGCTTATGGTGCAAGTTGATGAATTGGGGGTTGCAGGGAAAGAAAAAAGATACCTGCTTTTCTCTTTAAAGACCAGTCCAGAGACCATCCCTTGTGTGGATAATCAAAAGGTAATTAGGCAAATATCTTCCAACCAGATATCAGCCAGATATCTTTCAACCATTCCAGACATTCAATGACATATATTTTTGGTGTTGTTTTTTTTTAAAGAGATCTCCTGTCAAAATGTAGCAGTTTAGGGCAGGTTTTGGGGGAAATTTCTTTCTGGTAAAGAAGTCAACTTCCAACCTGGGCCAAGGCTAGAGGCACATTTATGGGGTTTTTCATTGGACATAGATAGTTATAGTCAGTTTTTCTACTAACTAAAAATATTTTTTCATATCTTTATTTGAACTTCTCTTCATCAGCCTATGTCTATCATGCTGGCTTCACATCCAGATCTCCCCTTGCAAGATTTTTTTTATTGCTGCTTTATGTAATATTAATTGTCATTTTACCGCCTGCATATAGAAATGTGGGGGAATGAAAAAAAGATACTAAGGTTGCCTTTTAATACCACTAAGGGAAAAAAGGAGTGTACTACTAGCAAAGTTTTGTTTTGTTTTTAAAAAATCTATGACTAAGAGACTTTGAAGGAAGTTACTAACATTAAGTGTATAATGGCAACGCTTAGAAGAGCAAAGGTCATGATCTGGAAGTGACCTGAGCTTTGCCCACACTAAAACAGCTTGCACTGTCAGTAAGCAAGTAAAGAGGTTAGGGCAGGCCAGGAGTATGACTTATTTAAAGGTCAAGGCACAGAATTAAACCCAGAAATTCTTTCTTACATTAGAAGAACAACTTTTGTCAACAAGACAAAGAGATAAGGCAACATGAGTTGTTCTTATTACCCTGTTGAGAGTATTGTCCACCTGCCCCATACTTGTGTAATATGAATGCAGATTTTTGCATTACTTAGACTGAAAGTAAATCTTTGTGTACCATATTAACAACATCTGAAACTTCTACTAGCTAGCAACATTAATGTATACATTCAAAATATGCAAGAGCAGTTCAATTAATCTTGCTGTAGTATGTGAAAACACCCTTGCTAGATTGGAAACTTGTGTGTGAAATTCTCTCTCTCTCTCTCTCTCTCTCTCTCTCACACACACACACACACACACACACACACACACAGGGAGGGAGGGAGGGAGGGAGGGAGAGAGAGAGAGAGAGAGAGAGAGAGAGAGAAGAGAGAGAGAGAGAGAGAGAGAGAGAGAGAGAGAGAGAGAGAGAGACTTAAGTAGTTATCACCTTTTGGAGAACAAAATTAGTTTATGACCAAATTGCATTGTTCTAAAATGTTCCTCCCCTTAAGCTGGCTTTGATGATCAAGCTATGATGTCAGTATATTATAGGAACTATACTCTGAGAAATTTGGCAGGCATTGAGGACAACCATCTGAAACAACTGGAACTTGCCAACAAAATGGGAATGTGTAGTTTTAGCAGCTGGTTATGAAAGAGAGAGAAATAGCTTTTAAATTTCATACAAAAAGAAGAAATGCCATGCTCCCCAATTTGGTTGCCTTTATTTTAAACAAGATATGAAGAATCAGTTGTGGTTACTTGGCTGAGGGATGTTGCTTCCCCCCCCCCCAGTGTTGATGGAAATGAAGCATTTTGTTTTGATTATGGTTCATATGTAAGTTAAGCTTGTCTTGGAGAGCAGTTATAGACTTGTTTTTGAGATGGGAGTGTGTGGGGAGGGGAAGGTCTTATACATTTCAAAGATGGGTGGGTGCTTTGCCCTGCTGTCACTGAATTTGGGCAGTATTAATAGATCCCATTTAAGCTTGCAGAGGTGCCTGCATGGGGATTAAGCTATAGAAGGTGATACATAAGTGGTTTTTCCTGGTAGCTTTGCAACAACAACCAAACAGGTTTCCCTACCTGTAAAAATTAATACTTGTGTTCTTTAGATGGCCGAAGTGGCTGAGCCATTGTACACATAGAAGTGTTCTATCATAATTTTTATATATCAGTGCCATAGTGCCCTCTTCATCTCACCTGGGTTGACCTTTGGCTAGGATGACCTTGAGGAAATGCTTTTTTTTTTTTTGGACCGCCACTCCATATTGACTGTGGTTGTAGCGTCAGGTATTCTACCCATAATTCCAGAGAGCAGAATAAAAACTGCAGAATCTGTTAAAAACCCAACTTTTCTTTTCACACTCACATCTGTAATTTTTTTTTTTACTATATTATAGTTATTTCCATTGCTCTGAGATGTCCCACACCAATTTCTGCTTGCTGACACTGGCTGTTGAATTAATTTTCTTGTTAAATATTTTTATATCTTGTATACATTACTGTTACTCTCTACTGTTGTTGGACATATTATACATTGTTCATAATTGCCTCAGATCGATGCAGTGAGTGCATAGGAGCATGTCATGGTGATTGGTTTTTTGCTTGTTTTGCTTCTCTCTCTCTATATATATGTGTGTGTGTGTGTGTGTGTGTGTGTGTGCGCGCGCACACGTGTGTGCTTACCACGTGATGCTGATATCATTAGTGAACAGTTTCCATAGTTGCTTAAGAAAAGACAGCCTTATGAAGGACAAGACTGAAAGGTAAAAACTTGCCCAGGACCACTTGAAGTACATAATTTGATTTTTGTTCTTGTGTATCAAAATCGAATGGCTTCTCCCTTAAACTTCAGAAGAAACAGTAACCTTTTATTAAGTAAAGTACCAACCTGAATTTTACCAATGTAATAGAAGAATCTTCCTGAAGAGGCTGTGGAAGTAGACAGTCATTGGCAATAGCACCATCCTGTGGTATCTGAAATTGAGGCCAGTTGGTTTTCAAGTTGTTGATCCAGATATGGCAACTTTTCCCCATACATGAGAAAATTTAGGAGTAGGTAGACCTAGCCCCCCCCAAAAATGTGCCTCACAATTGCTGAATAAAAGTATAGTATACAGTTGCTAATAAAGCCATTTCTTATAGGGTATGGTTTTCAATTAATATATTATTTCAATTTAATGATATTATTAGCGTAAATCATTATTGCATTAACTATAAGTAATTTGTGACATAATCTGATATGCTGATAGAGATCGGTGGGAGCATGGCAATCAGGTAAAGCATGATTTGTCCTATGATATTAAATGACTTTAAGCTCATGATTTATTTTAGACTTATGGATCACAAGTGTAGTTCAATATAATTTGTGAACAGGACAGCATTATTTGTCTGTACTTTATATGGTTTAGTTCTAGTTTAACCAGCTGAATCTCTCATCATTTGAT